TGTTGTTATTATCGTTTTAAAGTCATTTTAACTATGGCCTGCCGCAAAAGTATATTATAACCTTTATCTTTCAGTCCATAAGCATTTCAAGATGGTTTTGTACATTAAAGTTAATGAATCATCTAGGTTTAATGAGAAATCCCTTAAAGCAATCTACACAAACAACGGTGTATGTTTGGAACACATATCCCCATTAGGAAGTGCTTTTTGTGGAGATATGGCAAAATAAATTCGTTTAGAACACATGCGTGCATCAACTGAAAGTGTGGACTGTAAATACCCAACTCTTGTCTATAAGTGGATACTTTTTTGACGAGCTACTTGTAACAAAAACGCGTTATTTTTACTTATCTGTCGTTTTAGTTCTAATTTCACTTATGTGTCAATTACAATTCGTTCACTGAACGAGCGCTACTCATGTTGACTGGTGTTAAAGTTTTGAAATCTTTTGTTTGCATTTACTGCTTAACATTTACTTTACTCTCTGTTTACAATCGTGATGTTTTTTGTTTAGGAAAACCAGTTGTCGAACCTTCCAAATGGTTTTATTTTCCTTGCTGGTTCCTCGTGTCATTTCGTCTTAATAACGAATTTGTCGTACACGTTGATTGTTTACACTGCCACAAACTCCCTGACATAGTTTCAAATTGTACCAGCGGGATTTCAGCTTGTGTTGCCGGTTGACGGAAACAAGTGAATGCTAATTTAAAGGATCTATTATTAGGAATGCACGTAGCATCCAAGATGTTAAAGTTTTTTTCTCACAAAAGCAAGGTTTAATCATCTTAGTTGATTACGACTATTCTACTAAAATAGGAGTTTCTGATTAAATAGAAAAGTAAATGAAATGCGCACCCCTAAAGAAACTATAAATACTATATAGGATCTTTGAGTCAGCGATAAAGTAACCAATTGTCTTAATTTGTTGCACCAAACATTTAGACATTCGCTATCTAAAAGCTTTAACTTGTTTTTAAAGCCTGACAATGTTTAAAAAAGTAAACGCAGAATTTAAGACTTGCATTGATAAACTATTTTAGATTTTGAGTTGGTTAACATTCACGTAAATTATTTGATATTCTAGACCTTATAATTAACACGAAATAGTACGCTTTTACCATTTCCTTAATAATGGACTAAATTCATCTTTCATTTTTCACCAATGAAGAATTAGATGCTTCACATATATATGACTATGAGTTAAACAATTAAAAGCATGTTTTGCACTTATTCAATGTATATAGTTACTTGGATTCTCTGCTGCTTAATATTTACAATGTGATTGGTTATTCTTACAACACCTCAGTTTCAATGAGGGATTCCTTTGTCTGCTCCCGTTAGCCTTGAGAAAACCGCGCCGTGTGCAAATAGTCAAATGGTACTTCATCGAGCGAGACGTGAGTAGTTTTATTATGCACTCCAGTTGAGTGTTTGATAATGACTACCCTTTTGTATATTTTACGTGTTATTTTGAGTAACGTGTTAATGATTTGTGGAAAAAGTATATGCAATGTGTATTTCATAAAATGTGTAACGTTCATTCAAGATATCACCTATGAAAAATGTCGTATTTTGTAGTAGTAGCTTGTGCATGCTTTACGAACTTTGAAAGTGTTAGTACAGCTGTATGTTTTGTGTAGTGTATATTGTGTTGAGTTTGGCTCTTGATTTCACTTGATGAGAACTATTCTTTGCCTCCTTCTGAAGACCCGCATTTGACTTGTTAGCTCATTGCGTTTGGGGTGTGTGTATGTGTGTGCATCTGTATGTGCGTATTCGGAATGTGAGTTTGTCATACAAGAAGCAGAATTAATTTGTAGTTGTGTTGCGAAAATATGTATTTGTGTGTATGATTCTATTTAGAGTGGATTATTGTGCAATACATTCATGGTGAGAGAATTTTTTAAATGCTTCCAGAGATTGGTAAATATAGATGAAAGTATTGGCAGTCATTTTAATGATTAATTGGTATCAAAAGGGTCTTTTTTGGTAATCAGACAGTACGCATATAATAAATTGGCTTCTAATAATAGGTTCGAATTCCTTACAGTGCCAAATGTGGTTTTGTTTAATTACTTGAGCATCCAGGATTAAAGAATTATTTGTTCAGCTTTACACGTTAACTATTGGAGTACGTTTGTGACCTTTGCGCCAGTAAACTGCATGGCAGAATTTGATACCTCATCAGCCTGATTCATGATGTCGTCTGATAAAAATGCCAGATGTACTAAACTCTTGTCCTTTACAGATGTCGCATTCAGCAACTCAGCGTTCATACCTTAAGGATATTCAGCAACTGTACCGGACGATTGAGACTTCAACAGATGGTCAAGCTTCCATACTCTGCGTCGGTGAAATGTCAGTTGTGATCTCGCTGCATCCGAAATCTGGTTACAACGCACACGCTGCCTTCACTGTGAACGTGAGTACGCGCTAAACAATTATTAAGGATGGTTGGAAAGTGCCACGTGATCCTGGCATGTGGCACCTTAAAATGTGATAGATCCATCCAGTTATTTCCCTTTTGTCCATATGTGTTTCGTGCTAAATAATTTACCATGGAAGATTCTTTAAAATGCTGCGATTAAAATCTTTTTGACATTCGTGATATTTAAAACCAGACATGTCGCTTTGTTAGCGCAAACAATCGAAGAAAATTGCATGTCAAATTATGATGAGTGATTGTTTGTCGCAAGCGACATCGTAAGGGTGTATCTAATGTAAATTCGAGGATGTCCGTGATATGAAAAATGTAGTAAAGGGAACACGGAAGGTTAAATTCCCATTAGAACAGTGACCGACGAGTAGCTATTTCGATCTTATAGCACATGTTCAACACAATATTTTTTGCGTATGGCAGACGATTATGGGTGGAATTAAAAGACGAATTGAAATGAATGATAGTTGGTCGTATTTTGCACGTATCTGCATGCGCATGTTATGTTGAGTGTGCATATTCTAGATTAACTGTCCCGTGTCCTATCCAAGGGAGGGTCCAAAAGTGCTATTCATCTCACCAATCTTCCATCCCAACATCGATAATTCATCGGGCAGCGTTTGTTTAAATTTTCTCAATGAATGGCTCAGGTACGTCCGAACGTTTACTTGAACATGAGAATCGAAAAATGGAAACACTGTTTGCTGTGTAAATCTGTGTAGCAAATCCGTGCAAAGGTGTCGGCAATGAGGTCATATCATGAGATGACGTAAATAATTTTGTAAAATGTCACCTGGAAATAGTTGGCCAGATCATGGTAATGAGGCGTCGTCATGACAGGTAGTCTGCACGAGATAAAAACAGGTAAGGGGGCCATGTGGAAAAACATGTGGCAGGTGTGTTTACTGATTTATTTTGTGGTAGAATGTGTGGTTTGCACTCTGCCGTCTTGTTTTATGTCACAATTACTAAAAGACATGTGTTTAAACTTGTAGCTGTTACAATCTGCTGGATGTAGTAAAGGCCCTGCTCTACCTAATTGAACATCCGAATTTTGAATCAACAAACAACACATTTGGGTACCTGGAGAACACAGACCTGTTGGTAAAGAAGACGATGCGGCTGTTGGCAGGTCTGCCGGTGAATGGCCAACGGTTTGCTCCGAACCAAGCCTGGTGCGAATGGGCAGAGGCCCATGGATGCCTTCCAATCGGCGAGGAAGAGGATGACGAAAATGATGGTGCCAGTAATGTTGTGGAAGATGTGACGCAGATGGTTGGTGTAGGTGACGGGCAAGAATCGGGTGATGAGCATGACGTTGTGTCTGATGCTGTTGCCTCTGTGTACAAGGTATGTGACTTGGGTTGTTTGGTGGTCGTTTGCTTGGATTGAAATCAGGAATTAATCAGCTGTTTTCACCTGAGTGTCAAATCAACAGTAAAAACTAAATTTGTGTACTCTAATAATCACCCAGTTTGTGGTGCTTTCAGTTACCTATTCAATTTACGCTTATTCTTTCAGTTTTCATTTAGGTACTGAAAATAAAATGTGGTAGTTTTTTCAACATATGTGAAAATTCCACCTCATCTGCTTGTTAGAGACGTTTCTGCAACCGGTTACTTTCAATGCTGAATTTTGTTCTGTACATATCGCTTGATACTAGCATGTCGCTAAATCCAAGATTGTCGCTGAATTCACGAATGCTAAAATGCAGATAGCGTCAGTAGGAGTCATGCTTCAGCACCTACTCTAAGGTTGGTCGACACTTCAAAGTGGCTGACTACGATGCGCTATAAACTTAGAACACAAAGTTGGGGTTTCACGATCAACCCATAGTGTGGTTGATGATAGATGACGTAAAGTGATGGACTGAGTGTATTTGCGTCTTTTCTTCTCGTTCTTTTTAAATCGCAGGCAGATGTCAAAGAAAAGCGTGATGGTGACGCCGCCGTTTTCGACGAGAATGTTCTCTCATTTGCAAACATTCGATTCTCCGTTGGTTCAGAGACCGATTCACAATCTTCGCCGCCCTATAGACGCAAATATGCGCTCGTACACATAGAAATGCAACGTATCAATATTTGGAATCCAACTGATAGTCCCAATGCCAATACCCCGTCTGTGTTCTACTTCTGCGAGCTTGTCGGTGATCGGTACACTCAAATGGAATTTCATAGTCTCTACAGCACTTTGTTCACTGGCGATGTGTTGCGCTGCATGCAAAGTCGTCTGGAATCGAGACAAACATCGAGTCTATGTCCATGGTACATTTTTTACCAACATACGCACTATTCCAATCACTCGAGCTCCACTTCCGTCTTCGACCTTTCCTTCCTATTCACTAAGAAATTTAATAGACCAGAATTGACCGATGACTTTTGTCCGTGGTCTCATGCAGACGGGGGAGGTATTTGGGACATCTTGGGTAGCCTGTTTAAACGACGACGAAGCTCAGCACCGAGCACGCCATCACAAGACGCTGTACAAGGCTTCGACATGGCGTTTCTTTTCAACACGAGTTTTGAGGTGGAGGATAGTGACGTTGACAAAGAGTGTGGAAAAGAAGAAGGAGAAGATGAGAAGGACGAGGATAATGGAATGGAAACGTTGGAAGTACTTGAAAGAGAAGAGAAGAAATTGGATAATCTGGCAACTTCTGATAAAGCAGCATCAGATTTGGAGGAGAATAAGCCGTGTTATGTTGATGGCAATGAAGACGGGGGAAACGGCAATACTGGGGTGGACGATGAAGAAATGAGTACTTATGACCAAATTAATCTTCCTGAAGACACTCAGACTTACGAGTCATCGAGAACATACGAAATGGAACCAGAGGTGGTTAGTGGATTAAATGATGATGGGTGGATTATGAATGACTACATGTGGTGCGTAGGCACACTAAATGCAGACATGCAGCCACAGTGGCAGTGGTTTTTTCGTCAGACACGATGGCCATTCCGATTCGCTCCACAGCAGAAAGTTGATGTGTCTGTGCATGAGAATCGGATCCCGCCATGGCGAGCGAGTGTCGGGCGTCTGCATTTGGATGTCTACAATTTTTGCAAACAAAACCGCCAAATGCAAAATCTCATTCTCCTCAATCCCTTGGTAAGTGTTGTGTGTTGTTCATTGATCATCCATGCTTATGCAAGAAATGTTGCTTTTGTGTAATTTTCACTGTCGCTATAATGGCCACGGAAGAATTTGCAAGTTCTTGCCAAGACGGTGTCTTACAGTGTCAGTGATAGTGAAAGCAACACACAAAAACACAAGAATGTGATTAAGGTTGTTTTCCCTCTGCTACTTGGCTTCTTCGTTCGTGTGCCACTGTGCCTGTTGCCAGAAATGTGTGTGTGTGTCAATATTAATTGCTGGTTGGGTTGCACTTTGAAGACTCAATTGCAAATTGGTGTGTGAAGGCCAGCAAGCTAATTTGTGAAACCCACGACAAGTTAACTACTTAGACTGATGTCTTCATATTGTGTCTTTGCTGTGATATTGAAAGGCAGATTCCATACTCATGATTGTAGGCTTTGTCACCGCTTTCGCCACTGCTCAATCTGATGCGACACGCCGTGGAACCGAAAGCTCACCTGACAGGCATTTTGTGGATGACTCCACTTGATGCCCTTTCTCCCTTATACCAAGTCCCCATTCCCCGTCAAGATGGGAATTCCGAGGGGGAGGAGTTGAAGAAGCACCCCTACCCGCGACCACTTTACCTGCGATTTCTCACTCTGGGCGCCTTCCTGTCAAATTGGCTTGCCTGGTTCTCTCGAATTGAGACTTATTCGTCATTGGGCATATCTCGTTTTCCACCAGCAGCTGTGTCCGACCCCGTGGCAGGGTGCGTATTGCGTCCATACAGTTTGGGTTGCGGTCAGTCTCCCCTTATTGATCTGTGGCCACTTTGGTTGGCTCGACGACTGCCACTGTTGCCCTGTCATTTGTCTCTTCTGTGTGACGGAAGAATATCGCGTCACATGTTTCCCTTTGCTGACTTGGATGAAATATGATTTTGATACCTTGATTCTTTTGTTTTTGTTATATATTTACCCTTATCTTTCCAACTATATTATTAATTTGCGATATTTTTTGTACGTTTTCAAAATGTAATGAGTTCAAATCTTCAATTATCATTCGGGTTTTTTTATGCGTTTAAATGATCTTTTTCTGGTAATTGCGTGGCAGTGTCACGATGAAACAGAAAGTGTCTTATATACTTTGATGACCATCCTGTACAGATTGGTGATACCAAATAACTGATTACTCAACCACAAGTCTGGTTAACTGGATATTCGTTCCTGAGAATAATTTGAGTTTTAATGGATGTTTAACACTTACATTTTCTGCCCCACACTGACAGTGGTGGATGGATCTGCCACATCATTGTCTGTTCAACGTGGTCTCTTTAATCATTGACCATGTTAGTCGGACTCGTTGTTTTAGCTGACCGATTTATTCAGCACCATGCCTGCTTTCTGTCGCAGTCAGAGCAATGGATGGGCTCCGTCAACGCAGACGTGGTTGACTCCGTGGCAGGATAAGTGGACCCTACATTTTGGGGTGTGGCCAATCTCCAATTATTGATCTGTGACCTCTTTAGTTGGCCCAATGATTGCTGCTCTTGCCCTTTCATTTACCTCAACTGTGTCGAAGGGGGTTCTAGCAACACTTCTTTCCCTTCACTCACCTGTACGAAATATGATGCCAATGCAATGCAGACGGTGGTATGCGGCATCGTGCTTGTACAGACGAATAATCAAAGTGGTTCACGAATATCAGCATCGTTGCGGTTTCGTTTCAATTTTATTAGAAATGAAACGATTCATAAGTCAGACATATAAAAAGGATGCATGGGAGTAGGCCAATATTATGGGATACACAACATTAGGTGAATGTCCTTGCATATGTTCGTGAGCTTTTCTTATAGGTTAATCAGAAATAACACATTGGAACAATCAACCACAAGTGTGGCAAACTGGATACGTTCGCCTGCGAGATATTTGCGAAGGTGTCAACACCTGCAGTATTTCCCCCCGAGGTGCATCTGAACTCAAATTCGCACTCAGATTTCCTGCTCCATAGATGGTAGACGGATTATTGTGAAATTGACACTGCCACACCACTGTCCATCCAAAGAGGCCTCTCTCATCAGTGGCCATGTCATTCAAACAACTAGTCCCTTCTATTCGCAAACATTAGATTTGGGTTAATTGACGCAGCGCCGTGTCTATCATTCTGTTAATTGGCTGTGTTAAGTAATTGACGATTTCAGATAGGAGATAGGAGGTTGCTAGACCACGCATGAAACATTTACCTTATTTGCATTTAACTTCATTGAAAGGAGCAGCACACACCGGTACAAATTCCAACAATCGGCATGGTGCTCCATAAGGGCATTGATCATCAGTCTTATTAAGCTCTTTAGTTTAGCTCTAGATCGCCTATAATTTACAATGCGTTACAAATGCAAAGTCAGATGCTACCACGACACAACAGGAAATAACAAAAGCAACTGCCACAACGTTACCTACCTAACAATAATATTTGGTAAATACGCTGACCCGACCGCATTGTGTCGTGAATGTTCTAAATAATGAATGTCATAGGAAATCTGCACCATTAAATGTAAGTCTTTTTATAACTAATAAAGAATAGACAGTGTCTTGATAAATAAGGGTACACTGATATACCTCAGCTGTTACTACTCATGTAATATACCTAAATACAACGATGTGCGTAATGCCGAGAAATTTCTCTTCTTGAAAATATGTTACGGCAAATATGTTTTCCGTGGCGTTTTAGCAAGGTTGTATCATACTGGTCAACATAAAGAACTGTAGTTCATCAGGTTTAGTCATTGCTTAGACAAATGAAAGCTGATTAGGTAAATGACTATTTACGATGCTATGCATAGCAGCTAAAAATGTATTTTTGGGACCAGTGTGGGGGATTTCAATTGTTGTGCAGACTAAACTGATTGATGTGCAAACGACGACATCAAATGTTTACGAAGAGCGGCTGCAATAACAGGTTATGACTTGCTATGCATCATGAATTCTCTCAATAGACATGATATTTGTGTCTTGTTTTTGAGCAGAATGTAAATTTGAACTTTGTCGAAATACAATGAGTGTCTTAGTCTGTACGAACAAAATTAATCATTGGGAATGTCTGTGGACACCACTGCAAAGTTTGTATTCCCCTATTAAAAAGAGCTTATCAATTGGTAAATTCTATTTTCTACATCAGCAATATTGGCTTCGACGACCGGGTATTATGAGTAGCCTTGCAAAGAATAGTGTACTCAGATAACCAATATAAACTTGAAGATTTTTAGAGTTCAAACTCAACTCCAACGTCTCTGTTAACTTTTAATTAACGGCAATGAGAAAACGGTTGTGTCATTTAATGACAATAATAATAAATCCTAATTTCAATACACCTAGAGTGCAAGTTGATGCATTTAGGATTCAATCGTGTTCGTTTAGATGACTAAAATGAACCAGGGAGTTCATTATGGTTCATTTGATTTCTCTAATGTCCACATGAGTCCAAATTCCATGACTCACATCATGTGTCGAATAAAAGGTTTACAAACCTATGCCTCATACCATGAGTCAGTATAGAGAGTTCACGAAATCAAACAGACTGTAAGGCGTGACCGCAGCTGCCTAGGCTTTATTAGACTGCTTTACGGCACATTTTAATTTGCTAACATCGTACCTTACGTATAGAAATCATATTTACCGTGTAGGTAAAAAAAACGTCCTGTGAGTGCCTTACAGGATTGCAATAAAATGTCGAATTTGTGTTTTAATCACAAATATAACCTCATAGACGCTATTTACCGGCTTTCTTCTTCCGATGCATTTAGGTATCTATTAACAGTCATTGTTTGAATTGTGTTGAAGTCGCGATTGACTATAATGCATCTGGTTAACGAAAAGTGGCATAATTTGTCATTGACTGTGCATTTATTAACGTACATTTTGACTGTAAGCTTGTGCAAATAATTTAGACTGACAATGTCTTCGAAATTCTGCCGTGGGACAATTGAAGTATGTTGTCCATTTAATCGGAGTCATTTTTGCAAATAGTGACGTACTTTGCAAGACGCGATGGATTGTGATTCAGGTAGTCACTATTTTCTAACGGTCCAAGAAAATGTGGTATTTCATAGAAATATTTAATGTATAAGGATACCATATGTACTAGCTGTAGCTATAATGCATAACCAATCAAAAACAGCATAAAAATGCTGGATTAAATTACTACCCATTAATACCAAGCATCTCCTTAACTATTTGGATAAAGCAACGTATTCTGAAGACTAAAAAAGACAACAAAACTCGAATCGGAAATAACATTTAAGCTGAGAATAATTAAACTCAACAGCGACTTACCGTATAGCAGCAAAAAAGCAAAACGAATTCTAAGTTTAATGCACAGAACCATCAAGAAATACGTATGGACTGAAAGATAAAGGTTATAATATACTTTTGCGGCAGGCCATAGTTAAAATGACTTTAAAACGATAATAACAACACAACCGCTGGTATAATGACGTGTTTTACAGAAAGCAAGAACTTTGCATTGGTCATGATTAACAGTTTTCAATACTGTACATGAAAATGCATCAGTCACATATTTTTGTTCCTGTTAAAATTTACTTATTTCACCTTTCTCTGTTGAGGGTTTTACTCAATGCTCATGTTCGCACCTCAAGGCCAACCGATTCTTTCTTTTTCCTGTACACAACAGTTTTCGTAAGTAACTAGCAAGGAAGGAAATATTTCCAACTATCGAAGGGCTGACTTCTTCTCAAATTAGCACCATTCCCAGATTTCCTTTTGCGCTGTCACGCCTTTGAATTAAATCCAGTTAATGTCACAACGTGGTTTTGTTTCTTGGCTTAGTTGGCTTTGCAATGTCAAATTGAACTCCACATTAATCGGCACATACTAACCTTAGGAATGCCTTTATCCACGGCACCAAGGCTTAAGGATCAATCGTCCTCGATTTTGTTATGCTAATTAAGGAATTTGAGCTGTGTGCTTGCCGTCAATAAAGCAACGCCGTGGTTATGTGGTGGAGAACGGTGCCAAGAGCATAAAATGAATTAAGCCTAGCAAATGTCATCAAAAGCAAACACTGTCTTCTGTGAGTTTGTAGTCTGTGGTGTATGTAGGTGTGATGGTTGCACGATTTAACTGCCGTACCGAAAATTAGGCCTCATTAAACTTGTCAACGGTTTCGTGGTCCTAAATTCAAGTCATAATTGTTACTTCAGTTAGTAAAAAGAAAACCAACCTACTACAAGGCCTAAAAAGTCCCTGAACACTTCCGATAATTCTTCTTTATATTTAACGATTAAATATTTTCATTATCCTCTAAATAGAGCTGGTTCTCTTATTTGACGTCATCAGGTTTCTGTGTAGACATCCTATTGTTGATAAGTGTGCAGTGCTGTCGTGTTTAACAATTTAATGAATTCTCTGATAGTAGAAGCATATTTTGACCGAAATTCATCTAGACCACAAATGAAAACTCTTGCAGCTTTTCTGTGTGCATCATAAGCGACTAGCTAGATTCGTCAAGACTTGCTGAGTTACATAACTCCAGCATCTCTGTTAATAAAAACAAGGCAGATGCAGTCTTTTAAAAAAAACCAAGATAAAACTATGTTTGAATGTTCTCATGGAAGCGTGCTTTGGTGAACGTGCAAATTGTATGGTAATTACCTCATGTCTTTTCCAAGCGATGTTTGAGGCCTGACAGTCTAATATCCGATCTTCCATTCAAATACTGACAACGAACTAGAACGTATTTGTCAATACTTCTCTAGTAAATGGCTTAGAAGCAACTTCACTTCAGCGTGAATGCAGAACCTCGGATCAACTCTTCCTTGAATAACACTGCGCGGCACACCATCACTCGAGTGCATGTAACGACGTCTTGTTATGACACGATTGTCTATAAATTAGCTTGGTAAAGACCGTGTTCAACGAAATGCTGACTTGAGAGACTGTCATCATTTGTGTAAATAAGTCAAGGGTTCCCAGAGGAAAATGGGATTATTATTGCATGAATCGGTGTGCTGTGCTTGAAGTTGAATGGGTTACAACGATATACCACAATTATGCAAGGCTTGAGAACGATGTCTGTGCTGTTTTACCACGTAGCTGTCACAGTCTGCTGAATGCAGTGAAGACCCTCCTCTACCTCATTGAAAATCCGAATTCTAAATCAGCAAACAAGTCATTTGAATACCTGGAGAACAGAGACATGTTGGCAAAGAAGACGATGTGGATGTTGGCAGGTCTGACTGTAAAAAGCCAAGAGTTTGCTCCGAACCAGGCATGGTGCGAGTGGGCAGAGGCCAACGGATGCCTTCCAGTTGGTGAGGAAGATGACGACAGGCAACATAAAAGGCCTTCTGGCGCAGGCCTTCTTCTGGCGTTTTGTGTGGATTGCATGCAGGTATCTGTCAATGAGTACAACAATACCACCGATGTAGTGGTTTCTACATTTGAAGTAGATGACGTGGGCTATCTGGTAGGGTTTTGCTTGAATCCAAATCTGAAAATATTTGCCTGTTTCTACGACAGCATCAAAACTGCAGGAAAAAAAACAAATTGTGCAATAACCTCCATTTCCGCACTTTGTTATATACCCAGTTGCTAAAGTTGTTTGTCTTCAGTTGTACGTGGGTAATTAATGCTAAATTCCGTGAATAGCTATGACCTCGTGATGTTGATCTTTCACATCGTCAGCATTTGGGATTAGTGACGTGTCTTCATCACCACAGCTAAGACAATGACAGAACGCAATACCACATTGCCTGAAGTAGCAAATCAGTTACGACTGCTGCCTCTGCTCTGAATATTGATACAGTTTGCTTGCTTTATTGAGAAACTTCCAACCATAATTCAAAATATGTATCCCATGTCTTCAAAGCCTTTCAATATATCCTCAAAGACTGGCGCTCAACCATCTGCCTCAATTAGGAACTACGAATCTACGTAGATTCATGGTGGTCCTGAGATTACTTACCGGGAGTATCGCTGCATCTGAATCACCTGCAACAATTTACTCAAATCGATTGTTTGATTATCGTGATTGCTGTAACGTGTCAAGGTGTTCCACAGAACGCGATGACCAAATCTATATGAGTGGGACCTGCGTGTGTCAAATGCTGGTTTACCGAAACAAGATGAAAATGAATTTGTTTGATTGAGCGACCCTACGACCTTGGTGGCTTGGATGTAGGCTTGCACCCGATAAACGAAGACGCAGCATTCATGTGAAATTACTATTTACCTTAGGTGTTTTAGACCAGCTAGGGACCCCTCAATTCAGCTGCGACACTGTTTTATACCTCGTGATATTGATTTTCATCTTGTGTTGAAAACAAAAATTGTACTAGGTCTTAACTCACACATCAAAATTGAGTCATTGTGAAAAACGAAATATCGCAAGCTATCACTTCAAGTTAATATTGGTAATTGCTGAACTGGTCTAACAAACCACAAATCAATAGGTAGTGCTTGTCAGCACTCCAAAATGTGGTTTTTTCCAATCACAAGTAGAATTTTGAATGGGGAGGACGAATATGATTTCGCGTTTCTGGATGTATTTTGTGCAAATTTTTATTTAGCTCGGACTATCGTTTTACATGACCAGTAAATTTTATTTCAATCCTTCCTAACTGGTTAACGTAATTGGTAATATTTGCAAACGCCGTGGGCTTTGATAGCGTGAATGTAAATGTCGCATTACTTGAGTTAGCAAGATGATCTTGATTCGTCAAATGAGCATTATGTTGTAGTAGCACTTACTGCATCTTACTTAGTACGTATTCACTATTCAAGTCTTATAAAATCCTCTTCCTAAATTAATTGTTTGCCAGTTTTGATGTTCCTATCCAAATAAATTGAATGGCAGAGGTTAAGAGACCATCGTCCTGGTTCTTGATTCTGCCTGATGAGCATGCCAGATAAACTAAACTGTTTTCGTTCACAGATGTCGCATTCAACAACTCATCGTTCATATTTAAAGGACATTCAACAGCTCTACCAGGCGATTGAGACATCGACATCCGGCCAAGCTTCCATACTCTCAGTCGATGAGATGTCAGTGATGATCTCGCTGCATCCCAAATCTGGTAACAACGCTCATGCTGCTTTCACTGTGAAAGTGAGTGCTTGCTAGGCAAATATTAAAAAACCTACAAAGTGATAAATTTTAATAGCATGCGGTGTTTCAAAATGTGGCGAGTGCTAACTATGTCAGCTACGAAGACACTCAAAGTAATAGTCTTTTGGAATTAGTAATATTTGGCCTTAGCCATGTGTCATTGCTGGCTAGTGGTCGGAAGAAACAAAAAATGTCAATTTTGATATACGAATTTTTATGTAAGCGTTATCAGGCAATTGGTGTTTTCGAGTAGCAATATTTATGCAATATGCGTTCATAGATGACGATGGTATGACACGACATAGACGAGAGTACATGGAAGGTAAACATCTTGGTAGATGGAGGATTCCCCTATGGCTATTTTGATTATCCGGTATTGGTTCAAAACATGCTACTTACGTTTATTAAACGACATCATGCTGACAAATTGGTGAGATTACAATGCGTTTTGAGTGCGAATGAAGCATTTCGGGTGGCTGAGTGAACTCAGGCTCACCTTAACTTTGCCCTACACGCACTGCTGATTGCTTTCTGTGACGTAGATTGGATATTGTGAACAAAATTTCCAAAATAGCTAGGGTCGATGCAGCCATTTTAAGGTCTTCGAAAAATATGCAAATTATCTGCATAGCTGGTGATGAGACCCGGTAGTTGTTTCTAAAGGCTTAAGACTCTAACCAAACACGTCAACGATTCGGTATTTTTTGGTGACGACTTTACCTTCGTCTGTTTGGTAATGCATATTGTAGATAAAGTGTCCCGTGTCCTATCCAAGGAGTAGTTCAGAAGTGACATTCACCTCACCAATCTTCCACCCCAACATCAGCAATAGTTCAGGAGACATTTGTCTAAATCTTCTCGATGAATGGCTTAGGTACGTGTTGCTTCTTTATTTGAGCATCATTGCTGAACCCCGAGAACTCTGTTTTCCTCATTAACACTGTGCAGCACATGTTCACGCGAGTGCCGACGAACAGGTCTCTGCATGCAATGACCCTAATATTGACTTGTCAATGTGGAGCTTAACTCCTATAGGAGGAAATCAAATAAGGAAATCTTGTGGGAAAACATGTGTCGGTTATTCTAACTGACACGTTTTATGTTGAGATGCATGGATTCTAATAAGGCTGACTGGTCTTATATTACAATATCATTGATGCATGTGGCTGAATCAAGCCTTGCTTGAATATATAAACACCGACTGGCAAGACCCTGATGATGACTTGTCAATGTGACGTTTAACTGCTACAAGCTGAAAGTAATTATGTGTAACTTGTAGGAAGCCGTATGACTTTTATATTAACTGACACTTTTTATATTGGGATGCACAGATTTTAATAGGGCTGACCCCTTTAATATTACAATATCATTGAGGCATGTGGGTGATTAAAGTGTTAATTGAATATTTAGCTGCTACAGTCTTCTGCATGTGGTGAAATCTCTTCTCTACCTAATCAACAACCCTAATTTTGAATCGCCAAACAATACGTTCGCATTTCTGGAAAACAGTGACCTGTTGGCAAAGAAGACGATGCGGGTGTTGGCAGGTCTGCCGGTGAATGGGGAACGATTTGCGCCGAACAAGGCATGGTGCAAGTGGGCAGAGGCCCATGGATGGTGTCCAGTTGGCGAGGAAGAGGATGACGAAGGGAATGGCGAGGTGCGGGCGGTTTGTGTGGATATCAGGCAAAAATCGGATGATGAGGATGACGGTGTCTCTGATGTCAATGCCTCTGCCTTCAAAGTAAGGGACGTGGGTTGCCTGATGGCTTTCTTTATCGAAGTCAGGAATCGGTCGCCTGCTGAAATCAGTGAATGTTTATGACGTCGTGTGCCTGTATGGTAAGGGAAGTGTCTTCCCATTTATTAATTCTATCATGTTTCATTCTACAGGACAATGGCAATAGAGAATTCGATGGTGGTGCAGCCGTGTTTGACGAGAATGTTCTCTCATTTGCAAATATGCAATTTGTCGTAGCTTCGGAGACTGAATCGCAATTTTTGCCGTCCTTTGAAATCGAACAAACAGACGGATATATTGAGACCCAGCGTATCCTTATTTGGAGTCCGGCTGGTAGTCCCAATGCCAATATCTCCTCGGTGTTCTACTTCTGCGAGCCCCTCGGTGATGATTCTTATCGGATGGAATTTCACGATCTCTACAACACGCTGTTCACCGGCAATGTTTTGCACTCGATGCAAAGCCATCCTGAATCGAGACAAACATCGAGTCTCTGTCCGTGGTATAATTTTTTCCATCATGAGCATTATTCGAATCAGTCAAGCACGGCTTCTGTCGCCGACCTAGCCTTCTTCTTTTCTGAAAAAATGTTAACGAAGCCCATATTGGCCTACGACTTTTGTCCGTGGTCTCATGTTGATGGAGGAGGTATTTGGGGCATTTTGGGTGGACTGTTTTGTGAGCGACGACGACGATATTGGACTAAGAACACATCTGTGGAAAACAGTGTGAGTGGCCATATTTTGGCTATTCTCTTCAACACCAGTTTTGAAGGGGAGGACAGTGACACTAACAAAGAATATAAAGTTGATGAAGAAGAAGATGAAGTAGTAGAGGAAGAGGACGAAGAAGATGAAGAAGAAGAGGGCGACGAAAATAAGGAACACGAAGATGATGATGGTTATAGAGAAGAAGAAGAAGTCAAAGATGAAGAAGAGGACGTAAAAGAAATGGCAGAATGTAATGGAGCGGAGACACTAAAACAAGTAGACGCTAATGAGGAGGAAGTGAAGGAGGATGCGGAAAAGTTGGGATCTAGCGAAGAAGCAGATTCACTTTTGGAAGACTATGGAATGGGTGATGTTGATGGTGCTGATGAAGTGCAAAGCAACACTGCTGAAGTTAAAATTGAGGACGTTTCATCTTATGATAATTTTACTGTTACCAAAGACACGCAGTCATCGAGGTCTTCAAAAACATACGTAGAGGAAGAGCCAGATTGGGACGACAGTGGATACTTCACATTTGACTACTTTGACTGTGTGGAAAAAATCAACACGAAAATGCAGCCACAGGGGCATTGGTTTTTTCGTCAGACACGTTGGCCTTTTCGTTTCGCTCCACAGCAGAAAGTCGATGTGTCTATGCATGAGAATCGGATCCCGCCATGGCGAGCGAGTGT